CGCTCACAGAACTCACAAAAAAAGGAGTTGAGTGGCACTGGGGCCCAGATCAAGACGTCGCTTTCAAGTCATTGAAAAATCGACTGATAGAGAGGCCGGTGTTAGGGCTGTATGATAAGGATGCTAGGACAGAGCTAATTACATAGAGAAAGATGGTATCTTGTTTAGAAAAACTTTGGACGGGGAGAGATTTGTAATTCCAAAATTAGCTAAGTATGGGTTGTTACAAAAGATGCATGACCAAATAGGGCACCCGGGTTTTGGAAAATGTGAAAATTCCATTAAGTTACAGTTTTGGTTTCCCAAAATGACCCGTTTCATACGCAAGTACATCAACTCTTGTTTACAATGTGCTTTTGGAAAAGGTAACCATGGTAGAATAGAAGGAGAGCTCAATCCTATTCCTAAGGTTGCCGTCCCTATGCATACATTGCATGCGGACCATCTAGGCCCATTTGTCAAGACCCGCCAAAGAAACGCCTATGTCCTGGTAGTAATAGACTCTTTTACAAAGTTTGTATTTGCGAAAGCTGCTAAAAACTGTAGTTCGATTGAAAGCATCCAAATTATGAAAGAAATTTTCTATCAATTCGGAAATCCCTCAAGAGTAGTTACTGACAGAGGAAAAGCATTCACAAGCCGTTATTTCAAACAATTTTCTGAAGAGATGCAGTTTAAACATATTTTAAATGCTATAGCGAGTCCCCGTTCGAACGGTCAAGTGGAAAGAGTCAATCGCACTTTATTGAACGGGCTAAATACAATGACAGAAAGCGAATGTACATGGGATAATAAATTGCCTGACGTTGTCTGGGGTATTAACAATACTCCCAATGCTACTACGGGCATTACTCCGTTTTCTCTTATGTTTGGTCATAATAATTCACGTTTCCCGGCCTATCCCATAGATGCTCCTCTAGATTCAGAATCCCAGAGACATAATCTAGAAGATAGAAGGCAAACTGCTAAATTGCGCATAGATAGAAATATGACTCTCATGAAAAGTAGGTTCGATAAAAGACACAAGAAATGTACGAAATATAACGTTGGACAACTTGTTTTATGGAAAGGGGGAGTATCTAGAGATACCTCTGCTAAAGTCACAAGGAAACTCAATGGTTTATATACAGGTCCTTACAAGGTATGTAAATCCGATCATTTGTTAAATCGTTACACTATAACCAGCATCAAGGGTATGAAGGGTTATAGACGATTTAGTGCAGTTGTTACAGGCGAATCCCTTCGGCCCTACAAAACTACTATTTCAGATGATGACACTTCTGGTAGTGACCACGAAGTAGATCGCGATGATTTGATTGACCTGTTAGAAAGTTAATTTGTTTTAGTGCACGATTTATAGGAACGTTAGGGACAGATAACTCACAATACTTATTATTGAAACCAAATAGTTTATTTTTATTATAATATTTTGCTTAAGTTTGTACTTACCTATATAATAAGAAATCGACAACCTAATATGTAATCATTTGTAAGTCTTTCAACATAGAAATTTATAACATCAGTTGCAGTAGTTAGTTATTAATACTGAAAGTTGAACAAACTTCATACTCATAGTTTAAAATAAAAGCATGTAATTTTGTTATGATTTAAAAGGATTGATTAATAACATCATTAAATATATTGTAATCACAAACGGAAAAGTGTACAGACCAGATGAGTGAAAAATACTATTCCCTTAGTAGGTATGATTTGAAGATGTAGATAAAGATAAAAATCGTGTAATGAATATTATATCAATAAATTGATTAGAGCGACTGAGTATTATATTTAAAAATAGTGTACATTATTACCTATATTGAGTATGTCAGCACAAAAGTTACATAGTGGAAGTGATACCACTGCAATAAACTAAATTACTCCCTGTGAAACAAAAGACGGCTGTGTGAACAAGTCCACATCAGTATATGCTAGCTGCAGTCTAATCAGTCTGAAAAGATACAGGGTTGTTTTCGTGTGACTACATGGATTATTACTTAGAATGGCTGTGTGATCAAATTCTAATATAATTACTACATTCTGCTACTACTTAGAATGGCTGTGTGATCAAATTCTCATATAATTACTACATTCTGCTACTACTTAGAATGGCTGTGTGATCAAATTCTCTTATAATTACTACATTCTGCTACTACTTAGAATGGCTGTGTGATCAAATTCTAATATAATTACTACATTCTGCTACTACTTAGAATGGCTGTGTGATCAAATTCTAATATAATTACTACATTCTGCTACTACTTAGAATGGCTGTGTGATCAAATTCTAATATAATTACTACATTCTGCTACTACTTAGAATGGCTGTGTGATCAAATTATCATACTAAGCACAAAAGAAATATCAAACTAAGTATTTAAAAAAAAAAAAAAAAAAATAGAACATTTAACTAAAAACACAAAAAGAATAAAAAGGGAAAGGGAGGAAATTAAACGATATCAGATAGTAGATTTTATTTAGTGTTATATCAGGAGACTACTGTGTCCTCTTTATTTTTTTTTTTCAGAACTCCAATAGGAATTTTGAGATGAACGATGGTCGTGGGACACGACCAGTGCAGGATGGCCGAGTGTTAAAGACAGCTTCCGGTGGGACATCATACTCCGTCCATGGAACTTCCGCCAACAATTACAAATATTAAATAAGGCTCCATAAATTTATTTCCGTGGTTAATATTTCATTAAACATTAAAATGTTATAGTCTGTGGAAAAGATCTTGTAAGTTGATGGTAGTTACTAATTTTTGATTGTCAATGCTTTTAACGGTGGGGGTTTTTTTTTCGAATACATGTAAAAGGTTGTGACTCGGTGAAGATTGGACATTCGACTATTCGTTTTGTTACGGGGTAATTCTACCCGAATAAACACTTGTGAAAAACCAAGACCCGCGTGATTATTTCGCCACTCTGACCCACATCTATTTACACAATACAAGTTCTTGAGATACAGTTATAAAGTTCAAATTTCTTCATTCTGTTTCTGCATTATTGCATTGTTGCCAAGTCGCTACAAGTATATTTGTAACGGCTTGACAACAATGCAATTGCTTAACATCGAATATTTTGTATCTTTAAGTATTTTGTCGGATAGTTCTGTAAGAAACTATTTGTTAAGTTTCTTTCGTTTTCGTTCCAGTTTTACTACTTTCTTTACTACAACTAACCTAAATATTTTAAATTCACACAATCATAGTTGTATTAAAAAGTAGAAATGCCATTCTTCCTGAAATATGATTAATCTGCTTTTTGATTTTTAATAATTGATATAATATAGGTAATGCAATATTATTACACTAGACATTTTAATTACAAAATGATTAGGTATATGCATATAATAAATTAAATAGATTTATTTCATGATCAAATTCTCGAAATTTAGAAATTGTTTCTTACAGATATACTTTTAGTACTTTTAGTATATCTGTAAGAAACAATTTGTTAAGTTTCCAAGTCAATTTCATAAAACATGAGCCAATTTACTTGTGATACAATAGAAATAGATAGAAGTATTTATTTAAGACTAGCTTTCCGCTAGCGGCTTCGGTCGCGTGGTCCCTAGGGAAATATTTAGTAGGATAACTATTATCTAAGTCAGCTAATACCCTACCTGTATACCAATTTTCATCAAAATCTGTTCAGTAGTTTCAGCGTGATCGACGGACAAACAAACAAACTTTCACATTTATAATATTAGTGTAATAAATAATGATCTAATATTTAAAACCGAAAGTTATTAATTTCATTTGATTGATTTGTTATAATTGGCAAATATATATTTTTTAAATATAACAACTTTAATTGAGCAAGTATCTTATGACAAAAAAGAAAGTAAAAACTTAAAAAAAATTTGAACCGACATCAAATTTAAAAAAGTGAAAAATAACATTTATCTTAAAAGCGGTTAATTTTTAAAGAAACATTAAAGTCGGGCAGTTAATATTTAATTAACTACAGAAAACCTCAGCCCGCTTGAAGTCGGTTCCATTTTTTAAAAGTTTTAATTTCATACATTCACATCACGCATACTTAATGCAAATTTAAGACTTATACGATTTTCTCATAGATGCCATTGCCAGATCTGGACCACACGGCAAGCACTAGCTATCAAATAATTATCATTAAAATCGGTCCACCAGTCAAAAGTTATGAGGTAATAAACAAGAAAAAAAGTACAGTTAAATTGAGAACCTCCTTCTTTTTTGAAGTTGGTTAAAAATAAGATAACAAGACCAACTTTCATAAAATACAAATCATTTCTCTCTTTCATGGTGATTCTAAATAAGTATATCAATGTTAATTATTTTTCTAGTCAGCAGGGGTTCAAATAAAACATAATTTAATGTTAAAAATTATTCATTTACTCTCATTTAATAAACACATTAATATCTTAGCAAAATAGTTATAAAATACCCGACATAATATAATAAACTTAAAATATATAAATTTAATTTGATTTTTTTAATGTATTTTTAGTGCTTTTTGTAGTTACATGATAAAAAATTGAATATATACCCCTATAGAATAATATAGAAAGTTTATTTTTGTTCTCTTAGTTGTTAACAGATTTGAAAATGCCGTTTGGAGGACTTAAAATTAAATTAAGTATAGTTTGTGCAATAGAATTGCCGCACTCCGACAACGGCGGCGGCTTCTAAGAAAGCAAGTAATTTGCTTTACTTGCTTTCTTAGAAGCCGCCGCCGTTGTCGGAGTTAAACAAATCTGTAACAAAAAACCACTGTTTTGTCTTTATGTCTTACATTGTTGTTATCTATATGCTCTTAGTTTCTTATCTCATATTTTTGCTACCACAATTTTTTCATTAAATCTTCCCGTAAACCCAATAAAAATTAACGAGACCACGTGCATGCTGCTACTACTATAACTACTTGCACAAAATATATAAAGGGAAATTATTAAGAACTTTAAACTGTGTCAATTCTAAGAAATATTGAGGATTGATCTAAAACACAGTTTCAGTTAAACTAAATAAACAAGAGAAAAATCTTTCTAAATAAATATGAACAGATTCCAAAAAAGGTCACCAACAGTTGTCTTACAATAATTACAATTAAAGTAATGATATTTCCCCTCAATATTAACTTATTTATGTATCTTTATGGATTTTAATTTTAGCTGTTTTCCTAATAATATAAATATCAATTTCATGATACAAAAAATTTGAAAACACAAACATAGAAACATTTGTTTAACACAATTAGTAATTAATTAGTTATAATTTTCTTTCGTTATCGTTCCATTATCGTTATACATTAATGTCTCGGTACTCTCGTGCAAATCGGAATCTATCAATTTTGTTTTGTTCGTTCATTTTTTTTTTATGGTCTTCTGTGATGAGCTCCTGCTCTTTGGAGGGTTCTCCGTATAGTACAAACTCTTCAGCGAATGTTCGCGTTGGAGTAAAAGGCGCAGTCGCGTAAACATTAACCATTCGCTGAGACTGCTCCGCCGATATTAAATAGGAATGTTCGGGTTGTCTTGATCGGGCGTCCACGTGTCCTTCTTCTTCAAAACGATTGACCCAGAGGCCCACAGTAGGTCGCTGTAACAAAATTATTACGTATTTAAGTGCGTGTATTTATGTAGACGTTATATACTTATAAAAAATTCACAGACTGAGTCTTATATAAAAAAATCAAAACTGAGTTAACAAAAAATAAGTAAATTAGAGTATAAAATAAATGAAATGAACATTGCACATATAAACGCATTTTATCCGGCAAAAGTAGTTTTATTTATTTTCACATTATATTAGTAAATCTTTTTTTGCTGTCGCTGAAACAATGTTATCCAAATTATTATGTATCAGTCAATAAGTAAAGCTTGTTACTACTACTTTACTTTACTATTCTATTAGATGCCTCTTCTGCTATTAGAACCTAATAAAAAAAACAAAAATAAAAAAATCGCACTATTTATATATTTTCACATTAACTTTAATTCGTTATTTTAATAAATTTATTTCATTGCTTATTTAGCAGGCGCATCTGAAAATAACGCAAATGGAGGGCCTGATATATTAAAATATTTAAAGATCAATTTATCAATTAGATTATAAAGATCAATTAATTTCACAGTAAAATACAAATATAAAAATATTATAATGAATTCTTAATATTCAAACCAAATATTGAAGATATTAAAAAAAAACATTAAATTAACGAGTAGTAATTCAAGTTTCTGCTTACCTAAAAAATTAAATTAATGAACGTATTAAATTGCATTTGATCTTTTTTCATCAAAAATGGTTTAAAATCAACTGAGTTAACATATTACTTTGTTTGAAAGAACTATCGTTCCAGTTCAACAAATTCATACATTTTTTAAGAATAAATGTTACTTTTATTTATACGATGTTGCCAAGTTTCTATAGCCAGTGTCAGAACAGTAATAACGAAATTCGACCTTACGACTGATATCCATGAACTAATATTGTTTGTATGACAGTAAAAGAGATAGCTAACAAGGAGCGCGTCTTTGATTTTCGCCTCGTCTTTGTCGGCAACCACAAGAGTTTTTATGTTTGAATTTTTTTTCATACGGCACGGCCGGCGCCAGCGTTCTAGAAACGAAGCGGTTTGGCAACATCTTGAATTTTGAGTGAACTTTGTATGTTTTTACAATTTTATTATTGATTCTTTTTGTGAAATAGGAATCTTTGATCACATGACACTAAGGAATTACTTAAAAACAAAACGAAATAAAAATGAGAAATGAGTAGTGTAGAGAATGATATTAGAGGTAGTTATAACAGTATTGGTATAATAATCGTAAGCTAATATAAATATTTAATCATCGAGGAACTCTTCAATGTAGAGGAAAAACGTAATTCCATTAATTTCTAAGGAAAGTGAAAATTCCATTTGATCTGATATAATGTTATAATCCCTATTAAAATTATTAATGCAATAGTAACTCTGTCTGTTTGTTATGCTTTCAGGTCTAAACCACCGAACTTATTTTCATGAAATTTGGTACAGAGTTAACTTTGAGAAAGTAGGCTACTTTTTATCACGAAAATAAGGGTTCCTGGAGACCACGCGGGCTAAGCCACTGGTGGAAAACTAGTACAATTATAAATTGTAAACAATAATAATTTAAATATTTAATTTGCAATGACAGTTTGTATATAATGATAAGCAGTGAGTATGTTACACTTACCGTCAATCCCAGCTCTCTGGATATTTCGCTTATATTCATTCCATCTTCACGTAATGCGACGATACGACTCCTCTCTTGTATAGAGAGGTTCCTCGAAGACATGGTCCAAATTCAAGCCAAGGTCACGTTAAGCAAATCAAAAGACCAGTTTCTAGCACGGTGGTCAGGTATTAACAGGTATCAGTCCAATGAGAATGCGGAGGTTAAAAGAAAATCCAGAGTGAGCACGTCAACAATTAGCAATATGCAAAAAGCGACTAAACTAAAAAAAATAACAACACTGTTATTGCATTCATTGTATTTGTTGCATACGTAGAGCCATGCTGATTGGTCATAGTAAAATACTACGACCAATGAAGATGCGCCCGTAACTCCGCCTCCTAAAATTGCATCAAGTGTGTGCCAAGCGAACGAGATTTTGAAGTGTATAGGCACGTGAGACCGCCACTGTACGTATCTACAGCAATTTGTATGTTAAAAAAAAACCAAAAAGAGTATTAACATAAAAAAAATAGCAATAAGAGAAAAATATATATATAACTCGAGTTGTCTTTACGTTCTTAACTTCAGTTGACGTGAATCTAAGTTTTTTTAACGTCGTGGAAAAACTTCTGACATTGTCTCTGTTACCTGGCAAGCTACAGGGGTGAGTAGGATTCTCCACCGTGAACCCGACAGTGAGCTGCCCCGTGGGTCCCCAGAGGCCTACCCACCAAAATCCGTACTCTACACCTTGTGTTCTACGCGAAAGTAGTAGTACAATTAAGTTGCGAGTAGTGTATTTGTCATGATTGGACCTACAGTTCAGGACGATCTATTAACAATCCTTTTACGTTTTAGACAGCACAAGTATGTTATTGTAGCTGATATTGAGAAAATGTATAGGTGCATAGAAGTTGATGTGAAAGATAGACCACTTCAACAAATTGTTTGGCGCAGTCAAACCGAACCTAACTCTTTATTAAAATGTTATGCATTAAATAGAATGAGTTACGGCACCACTAGCGTTCCTTATCTAGCTACGCGTTGTTTAAATAAATTGCTCTAGAGTTTGAGGATCCAAAAATAAGTAAAATAATAATTCACGATTTTTACGTCGACGATTTTTTAAGTGGAGGAGATACTTTAAATGAAGTCATATACATACGAAATCAAGTCACTTCTGAATTGGCTTCTGCTTGTATGCCTCTTAGAAAATGGAAGTCCAATGACCCTCGACTACTGCCTGAAATCAATCAGTTGCCATCTGACGTGAACATTTGTAGCAACGGTAGTGGTAAGACATTGGGCCTCGGATAGTGTTCCGGATTAGATGAGTTTTATATTGACATCAGTTCTACCATAGTCAAGGGATACACAAAGCATGAAATTCTGTCGGTCATCGCTCAAATCTTTGATCCATTAGGTTTGCTATCACCTTGTGTTAATCGCATGAAAATTCTATTACAGAGACTGTGGCTACAGAAACTATCTTGGGATGATGAATTGCCGCTGGAAATAAAAAAGGCCTGGGTCCAGCTGGCTGAAAGTCTACCAAGTTTGAACTGCCTACGTGTACCGAGACGTGTTGTCTATGATTCAGCTTCAAGGCTGGAGTTACACATTTACACAGACACGTCGGAGCGCGCGTATGGTTCTTGTGTTTATGTTCGTAGCGTAAACAGTCAAGGTGAGGTTTCAGTCAATTTATTACTTGCCAAAAGTCGAGTGGCTCCAATAAAGGTCACGATAATACCACGACTGGAGTTATGTGGAGCCGTAATCGGTGCTCATTTGTATGAACAGGCTATCACTGCACTACGAGCACATCCCAGCCAACACATAAGCCAGATAGTAGCGAAAATATACCACAATAAGCAGTGTCAAGATTTATTACTTTTGCATTACAGATGACGTTATGGCTTTATTTTGAATAAGAGAATTTTAAAATTAAAATAATGTTGTAAGCTTTCTGAATTCTTTATAAAGTTTGCGATATTTTTGCAAGCTGAATAGTAAGCAAGAGTAGAATCTGTTAAACAAGCGATATTCAAATAAAAGTAATTGAAACAGCTATTATCTGCACAGTAGCTGAAGTTTTTGCATTGTCTTGTATAACATATTTAAGCAAAGCAGTTAAACAGCAAAACGCTGAATATTAGACGAAATATTTTCTTTAAGCTGCATAGTGTACGAAATGGTACTAATTTATTCAGATGCTGAATATTTTAGATTTTTTCTTCTTTACACAGCTGACTTCTGCATAATTGAAAATAAACTCCTTGTTTTACCTAACTTATAGCGCTATAAGCGTACAATTGTCTTTGTGTTAAGCTTAAAACAATATCAGTTACAAATGTGGGTATCTTAAACAGCAAATAACTGATTAATTAAAGATATCTTATGTTTATATCCCGATATTTCACAATTTTGTGACCAAACTGATAAATACTGCATCAACAATATGCCTCCTCAGAAAAATAATAACAAAAGCGTAAATGATTCATGGAAAAAAAGAAAAAGAACGGGAGGAATAAGAAGAAAGTCTTCACGAGAGTATGAAAAGATAAAAAAAATAGTATCTGTGCAGTAATAGAAAAGAGTTTGAAAACTAATACAAATAGGCCCGGGTCAAGTGCGACCAATACAGTTGAAGAGGGTTCTGTACACGATGATTGTGCAACACCATCAGGATTAGTGATTCAAACAAATAGACCGGGTCCAACTTTACATGCAGATAACGAGAGTTATATGCGTGACAAGTTTGCATATCAATCACAATTTGATAGTGATTCAAGTTCTATTGATTTGGAAGAAAACTCAGAAATTATAAAAAAATATTATTATTATTTTCAATAAATAAAAAAATTATGTCGTTCTAATTCCGTATCATCCGTATCAGTTCTGTTCAACATTTGAGATAATATTTTCTCAGCTTTCCTCGGGTTCTTGCAAAGTAGCTCGCCTTTTTTTTGGCCAGTATAATACTCCTTTGTTTTCCCTAGAAGCGGGCACTGTTGATAATTCAACTCGGCCTTTTTTACAAGCCGAAACGATTTTGAACATGTTTCTGAAAAAATATACAATTTCTCTATATCACTTCAAAAATACTACAACAACACTATTATAAATACTAACATTATATAATAAATCTCGATGTTTACGTTTGTATCTTACTTATTGACTACATGAGCGCAACAAGTCCGAGTGTATAAAAAGTACCTACATTAGTATAGGTCCCATCAACCTCAAATATTCATGGATTTATTTTCTATAAAAAAGAACCCTAAAAAGCTGAATTAGAGTATACTATATTATGTAATTTAAGACCTTTCTCTGAGAAATGTATAATTATTGTACTTTAAACCAAATAATTTCTGGATATGTAGTCGTATGTGAACTATTATGCAGAAATAAGCAAAATAATCACTGAAATAGACACTTTTATTCAAATAGGCCGTCCGCCATTAACTAACGTTCGACAGAACCTCTTCTTATAAAAATCTTCAACATTTATCTTATGAAACACTTTTTTTAGTGAGCAGGAAACATTACTAGTTATACAAAATTTGATTCTCATTGTTTTCTGGGACTGAAATTTGATAAAAAGTAAAGATAATTTAATTTAAATATTATTTCACATTTGTTTACCTTTTAATTTGTAGCTTTATCTGAAGGCGCTCAAAAAATGTATAATAATCATATTGATAATTCACAGTAAAGTGCCATGCGTTTATATAATTCACCTTAAACTTACTTAAAATGTATGAAACAATTTGCTTACCAAATTTTTGAAGTCGTGAATTAGCGACCATTACAATATTTTGAAGTAAGTAACACAAAATAATCTCGTCACAATGAAAAATACATTTATACTTTTTTTACTTGCATAATTTCTTTGTAAAACTTCCCCTGAGATCGGAATTGTGAATATCATTTGAATATCTGAACTCACAAATTAACAACTGCATAAAAGATGTATAATTTCTGGACTAAAGAAAAAACAGAATTTATGCAGAAGATATTCAGTATGTTGTACATTTATTCAGCTGCTATGTAGCTATTAATCAAATGTTATCCAAATTGAAGCAAGATATTTTGTGCCCAAATTGCTTGAATATCATCTGTATAAGCGCTTACACAGAAGTTATACAAATACTTTAGCCAGCTTAAAGTCAAAAGAATTGCTTTTACGCAAAATTTATTCAGCTAATCTGTGTTGGCTGGGATGTGGAACAGGTTGTCATTTGGACTGACTCTATGATTGTCTTAGGTTGGCTTAAAATATTACCGTCAAAGTTACAGCCGTTTATTCGTAATCGCGTAGCTATTATTTTAGAAAAAACTGAAAAATGTACTTGGCGACATGTTCCGACTAAAGAAAACCCCGGGGATTTAATATCACGCGGCATTGATATTTGTTCACTTCAGTCGTGCTCTTTGTGGTGGCATGGACCAGATTATTTAAAACGCGATCCATCGTCCTGGCCTGCTCCAGCAAACACTACTGAAAACTTGCCTGAAACTCGTAATGATATCTCATTACATGTTCGTGAATCAAGTCAGCATGAACTCATAGATTTCAATCGTTTCTCAAAATTGCTTAGGCTCCAACGCACTGTAGCATATGTTTTAAGATTTATAAATAATTTAAAAAAATAAACGATAGGTACGTAAAACTATTTTTTTAGATTCTGATGAACTTGAAAAGGCAATGATTTTCATTTTACGTCAGTCACAAATTCAGTCATTTACGGAATATAAGTTGTTAATTACAGGCAAGGACTTGCCGAAGAAAAGTCCACTTATAAAGTTTAATGTTTATTTAGATAACAATGATGTAATTCGGGTTGGTGGTCGATTAGAAAATTCAAATTTTTTATTTGAAAAAAAAAACATCCGATAATTATACAGTCCACACATCAAGTAACTAAGTTAATTTTTGAATTTGAACATAAAAAACATATTGGCCGATAGGCGGTCGAAATCTCGCGAAAAAGTGTTTTCGGCAGAGCATGCGTTGTCTACGTATGAATGGAAAATCATTTAATCCGTTAATGGGTAATTTACCTCAGCAGCGTCTTGAACCTGGTGGCTATCCGTTTGATAGTGTAGGTGTAGATAACGCCGGCCCGGTGGCCGTCGCGAGTCGTACCGGTCGTGGTTGTAGGCTTATTAAATCGTATATTGCACTTTTTGCATGTTTCACGACTAAGCCGGTTCATCTGGAGTTGGTGGGTGATTTAACGAGCAATAACTATTTATTAGCGCTGCGTAGATTTATATCACGCCGAGAAAAGCCCACTCATGTATTTTCTGATAACGGTACCTCATTTGTAGGCGCTTATATTTAAATTTTTTTAAATAGTAATAGTGACTCACTGGCTTCGGATATGGCACAAGAGGGTATTCGTTTCCATTTTATACCTGCTTATAGTCCTAATTTCGGTGGCCTCTGGGAGGCTGGTATCAAGTCTTGTAAATTTCATTTAAATAGAGTGCTGGGCCAATGTAATTTAACGTTCGAGGAGCTCACTACCACGTTAGCACAAATCGAGGCGATACTCAATTCTCGGCCACTCTCTCCGTTGTCATCGGACCCCGCAGACTTGACACCACTCACACCCGGCCATTTTCTCATCGGCCGTCCACTAACTGCTTTGCCGGACCGGAACTACAGTAGCTATCCTGCCAGTAGATTGACGCATTATCAGCGCATTGAACAATTGCGTCAACATTTTTGGGCAAGATGGGGCAAGGTATACGTTAGTGAACTTCAACAACGTGTCAAGTGGCAATCTGACGGGTACTCTTTGAAGATCAATGCTCTTGTCCTGTTGAAGGAAGATGGTCTTCCACCGTTAAAGCAGAAACTTGGACGTATTGTAGCTGTTCATCCTGGTACCGGTGACAACGTATGTCGTGTTGCGGACATAAGAACGGTGAGTGGTGAGTCCGAAGCGGTGACTCCGAAGAGGTTATAGCAGGATAGTACCACTAATGATGCCTGGTGAAGATTTGGTTGAAGGACAAGTCTTCAACACGCGGGGGCATGTTCGAAACGAATAATTGACTCATCACATCACTAGTTTTTAGTTTATGTAACGGTTTTTATCATTCTATTTCTGTTGGTTCTAGCGAGTACACGCATTTTAAAAGTAACGTGAATTTTATTAGCACATATTAATACCAGACCCCTACAGTCTCAAATTAATATTAACACTTATTATCGCACAAGAAGACCAAAAACGTTCACTCTTTATAAAAGTTTTAAATATAATCCTATATCTGGAATGTGCCGCCGATATAATGAACTCATTAGTAATTAATCGGATATTGATATTTTCAACTGTAATACATAAACTTTTACGAAAAATCTTGTTGACACATTGGTGAAATTTCTTTTTTTTCAATATTTATTAACTTAGCGATGTTATTCAAACATTTGAATTATAAAGAATGTTATAATTATTTAATAGTGTAATAATTAATGTAATAGTTTTTGCGTGAAGAAGTAATATAAGTAGGATATGAATATGTACACTATCCAGCACGTATCTAGCACGCATATTGCCTATCCGCTAGATATGTATTAGAATAATAAAATGAAATACAGAGATCGCTGCCGATAAAATATATTCAACCTCACCTAATAAAGCAGGTCTCACAATTTTATTATCATCTTATTTATTAGCCTGACAGCAGAAAGACGTCTTTATTTGAAGTTGACAGAAAAACTAGACAGGCTACTACGGTCTGTTTGTTTTTATTTTAGAAAATTATTTATTGATTTTTTTATATGTTTGAGTGAATCCCAATAAAAATCAAAATGGTAATTGGTCTGTCGGCTAATTTCTAAAATTTCGTTATCACTTTACGTGTGATCTTATGTTGTTTACGTTGTCTCGTGTTGTGTACAAGCGATGCCATGAGGAGCGCACCTCTTGCGGCAATAATACTGCTTACGTGTGTCGCTGCAGTCTGCGCTAACGGTAATAGTACCTATCCCTACGAATGATTTGAAATAATTAACTTAAATAGATCATTTAAAGAAAAACAAAAAACCCGACTGCGTAAAAACAAATTTAAAAAAATACACGAGTCGTTCTGTTCTGCATTAGAATTTATTATTTGTTTTGTGTGTATCGATTATAAAACTATTTCAATTGTGTAGTTATTTAGTATTACTTAACAGAATTCTAAACTACTGGGCTTGTTTTTTTCTTTTTAGTTTTTATAAGTTAATTTTTCCATGTATTTTTAAAATTTGTTTTTAGGCAGTCGGGTTTTTTGATTTTCTTTTAATTATTTATTTTTATTTTTTACTTTTTAGTTAAGATTCGTTGACTTCGTTATAAGATGGTAAATTTCGCAATCTAGTCATTTCATTGAGGGAGTTAATATCGTGGGGATTATTAAGTAACTTGCGGTGGTCTAAACTACTGATGATTAGTCCCTCTAGAGACCTAACTCGATTCAAAGCTACATATGCTTTATTTTTTTACCAAAAATATTTGTTCTTCATGCTTTTTCACTGTTTCTTTTTTATTGTATATCGTTTATACTTTGAATAAAAACTTAAATCTATAAGTAAGAAAATTAGCGAATATTATTGTTTTGTTAAACAACTTTAAATCGTAATATATCCTAAACTATTATTTAAAATGGAAAGTCATAAAAGGAACCTAAAGATGATTTTAAAATACCTATTCAACGACACCCCACTTGACATAGTTCGTCGATTATTTTTTTTCATTTTGACAATATGGCGTCTGGTTGTCGCTGTGGTGAATTTTGATTACTGTCATGTCTCTAGTGACACTCGCAAGGTTAAGACGAATCGATTGACGTAAGAATCATCAAAATCGGCCTACGAATTTGGTCTCTAGAACGCCACATAGACACAAACATACATACATACATACATAGACTGATAAACACACCCTCCTTCGTAAATAGCCAGCCTATTTGATAAAATACATGTACACAGACCAGCACATCAGATATACACAAAATGTTAAATTTCCACAATTGATTTTGAACGTGATATCAATAGATTAAGGTTTTAAATAGTTAACAGAAATTACTTCATTTCGTTAAGGCCGACATGCTGTTCACTCTACCACACTGTACTTACGAAACTAATCTACTTAGTTTATATTGACGGTTACGAGTAGATACGAGCCTGGCAGAACCAGTGAGTACTGACAACGACAGCGACAACGCAGAGCTCGGCGAAGACCAAGACGGCGAAGATGGTCCCGCTTCTTTTATGGTGAGCGGATCAAACAAAATTTATATTATATGGCTATAATATATTTAACAAGCTTCCATCGAAACTAAAACTAAAACATCGTGACTTCTGAACAAATCAATAACCGATACAGGAATATTTGGAATGCAAACAATTTGAGTAGAGTAAATGACGCTATATTATATAATGACATATTTTGTAATGAGTATGATAATTTTCTTTTTATAATTGACATAAATTTATATATTAAGCATACTTGACTTATTAAAGTAATTGCTATTTTATGTTTTTCAATTATAAGACTGATATAATATGTAATAGGAATTGTATCAAATGTTTTGAGTCAGTGATGTGCGAACAAAATAATAATAAGGTTAATTAATGCATGAAAAGGTTATAATGGAAATTAATAAAAAATAATTATAATTTAAAACTAATAATATTTTACATACTACATCTATTGCACACTGCCATATAGTAAATATGTGATACCCTTATTTTTTGACATCCGTTGTATCCACACCATATTTTATGCAATAATTGATCGATTGATCATTTAATTTCATCGAGGAAACATCGAAAATGCCTATAAATCAATTCCCTCTCTCTGTTCTTTGAGTTCGAGCCTCGCAAATCATTTACGTAACGTGATCTCAAATGCAGTGTAGAAGTTGTACTGGGTCATGTTCTGTCGTACGTAAAGCCGGCGTGGTGTTATCGTGACTCAGATAGTGATAGAGCACGGTGACGGGTGGCGGTGCAGCGGCTCCCTGGTGTCGCTGCGCACGGCGCTGACGTCGGCGTGGTGCGCGCGCGGCCGCCGCCCCGCGCCCGCCGCCGACCTGTGGGCGCTCGCCGCCGCCGCCGCCGCCGACGCCGCGCCGCCGGACGCGCGGCTGCACGGCGCCAGGCGCATCGTACGAGTCGCCGTCGCCACCGGCGCCGATGCGGTCAGTACACATAGCTCATAGTCTCATGAAAGACCACCCACGGGTGTTCAGGACACGAGGAAGCAGGGATGTATCGCAGAGGTTTTACACTTAGTTGCAAAAAGGTCTATTAAAATAGGCATCAGTTTAAAGTGACATTACCCATACAAATTTGACATTCGTTAGAGCTTAAAGGCGTCATTAAACCTAAATGGACGTTTATGCCATTGACCGTTAGACAGGAAGCTTTTGAGAATCAATCAGGCTCAGCCGGATGAGTCTTTCTGGGACAGTCCACATAGCCTAATAGGCGAAACGAGCGCTAAAAAACATTCACAAACGCAAAAAAGGATGAAATAGACCATAAACAAAATATGTAATTATCTACTTTCACCGTTGTAATAGGAGGTCTATCGGATGATCCTCGAGTAAAAAAGCGGCTCGGAGGTTCGGTTCGATCTAGACCGGTACTTCGGAATATCTGAAAATAAAGAACGAATCGCTCGTAGGAAGTGAACGACGATTCGGATCGGGGCGGAGAGTCGTGGCGCGGCGGCGCGATGGACCTGGCCGTGGCGGAGCTGGAGAAGCCGTTCGGTCGCGCGGCGGCGGCGGTGCCGATCCTGATGGCGACCGCGGGCGAGGAGTGCGCGCCGCCGGCCGCGTGCCACGTGGCGCGCGCCGAGCCCCGCGCGCACTCGCGCCGCCTGCGCCTGCGCATCGTGAGCGCGGCGCTGCAGCCCGCCGACGCGTGCGCCGCCGCCGCCCCGCACTGGGCCACCATCAAAGATCGTGCTCTCTGCCTTTTCGGTTCGGAACTCTGTGAGGTTAGTTCCGTCTGCTCCTGAATGGCGAAATCTACGTGATTTTATTTATTTTTTTTAACAAAATTTCGTAGACCACCCTAATCTAATTCTTGAATTGGAATTCATAATCTGACCTCGATGATGATGCTGTAAGAGTTACGATGACTTTAGTTGTTTCCTTTGCCTGGTAAGTCGTGCGTGATCGAGTCACGGTTTACCAGGTCTCATTTCTCAGCAGAGGTTAAAGTATTTTCCCCGCGCATAAAAAAGGTATGCTCTCTACACACTCTACACACTGATTAAGATGATATATTTTGATGACTTGATATTTTTTATTTATAAAATTCAAGGTGCTAAAATGTTCTAAAATATTACTCATAAATTCATAATTTACAAATAATAAATAAAATGCTGAGTCTGAGTACGAGAAATACACGATGCACGTATCGTACACATACCTACAGTGTTTATAACAGTTACATTTATATATTTTTACTAACCAGGACATTATTGTTTACTACTTTAATGATTCTTACGTATGATAACGGTCGAACAGAGCGATTGGGGTTCGGGTGTGGTGTGCAACGGTAAGATGTGCGGCGTGGTCAGTCGGTCTGTGCGCGCGGCGGGGGCGGGGGAGGGGGAGGGGGCGGGGGCCGCGGCGATCGGTTGCGGCGACACGCACGCCGCGCAGAGCACCGCGCGCTGGCGGCGCTTCCTGCACTGCGCGCACACCCTGCGCGCCTGCGGCCGGTACATGCTTCGATCGGCATCACTTACTCATTAACTAGTCTACCTACCTATATGTTAATTATATTTTACTTGAACGTCTCATATATATAAACATCGTCTTATAATTTAGCACAGAGTCTAGCGAAACTCAGGATTTGTTTCGAGTAAAGTAACACTTATATAGGGATGAAACGATACATGGACTCGCTACTTTTCTTTTGATACCGATTATTGTTACTCAAGTAACGAGTAGTATCGAGAAGTATGTATTTGTATCGGTACTCGGCCGGTCACTCACTAAAGAGTGTTCAAAAAACTCGCGTGTTTTCTTTGGTGAGGTATCTAAAATCTGTCATCACTTTTAATGAGAAAGTATTCGTGTATTAGTGTTTTTTTTTAATACTTCCTCATTCCTGGACCTGCTTCTCTTTCATACATAAATAGAATATTGCTATTGACTTATCAATACTATCAAATCTGCTCTAAAAATCTATAAAAATGGAGACTATGGCGAGGCATTTTAAAACTATTCGATACATGTAAGTTTCTATACTTTTCATCCGACACCGAGTAGGTAGATACCGTAACGGTCGTGTAGTATCGGTGCTTCATGACCGTTACGGTATCGAGTGACAGCATCGATGGCTAGGTGGTATCGTTTCATCCTTAAACTTATATCCACACATTAGACCAAATATATGCCTACTATGTAGACTAGGCAATTTGATATGACATTTATAGAGGCGGTGACTGTGCGGAGCTGTGCCTCGAGCGGCGGCTAGTAGAGGAGAACTCTCCTCCCCCCCGAGACGCCGACCCCGACCCCGACCCCACGCTTCCCGATACTACTACCACTACCTCGCAGCCTCCATCGCCTACCATCAGCATTCGTCGGCGTAAGAGATATAGATAAGAAAATCTGAATCCTCGGGGTATAGATAGACTGCTTAAAACCGACCAAACATTTTCATGTATAATGTTTTCGGGGCAACGCCATACGACTCGTATCGACTAAAAGTTTTCAGATCTCAAACATGTAGAGCCAAATTTCTCACTCTATCCTCCCTAATTCAAACAAGCCTACATCTCAGTTAAAACATGAGGTATACTACATTCTTTTTCTCTGTCGTGACACACTTGCCAGAGTGGTCGTGGTCAACACGCAGTATTTGCTGGAGTGGCCGACGTAGTTCGCCTCACGACATCTCGCCGTCCCTCTTTGTCAATCGACATCTTTGAGCACTCGTATAGAGGCGTGCCTAGCATGGACTTTATTTGGTCGGTCCATCGCTTCGGTGATCGCCCGCGCGATCTGGTCCCTTCTACCCTGCCTCGGACGACGAGACGCTTTACGGAATAATAATAATAATAATAAGGAAGGATACGATTCAGGATGTAAGGATACGAGTCTATACAAGATTAGATAGACTCTGTTTGACTTCTTTTCTTCGTTCGACTCGACTTCGTTCTTGTAGTATGGAAACATTGGTTCGAATTTCTGTCAAGATATGCCAAACATTCGTCTCCGGCACCACATTACTAGGGCATCTTCTATTTCACAATATCTCGCAACGTCCTCACGTCTGCAGCGTACAAAAAGGCGTACTTGACGGGTTTTAGTGGCTTTAGTGATGTTGTAGTTCATCCAAATTGTCCTCATCTTATCCATTGCAGTTCTTGTTGCAGCCATTCGTCGCTTTATCTCCTTAATGCAATGCAAAATGCCATCACTTGTAATCAACGCCCCCAAATATATGTACGGTTTAGCCGCACATAGCGCGCGGTCAGCTGTTAAGTTCAATGCGCTCAATAAATACGGAAACTATTATTATTATTGTCAGCATATTTGAACTTAACACACTTTACTTTAGAGTGAAATCTAGTTCAATGCGCTCAATAAATACGGAAACTATTATTATTATTGTCAGCATATTTGAACTTAACACACTTTACTTTAGAGTGAAATATACATTATTAAATAAGTATCAATCTAACTGTAACACTAGTAACATCAAATAAACTAATAAATCTAAACTGTGAATTTTCTTAAGATACTTCGCATATACTTACAATTTCAACTTACAACTAACTTCAACTACAACTTATATAATTAAAATTTATGGTGTACTGTGTTAGCGTGGTCAACTAAGCGCTACTTCGTACATCAAATGGTCCTTCGAGAAGAAAAAAGTGGTAAGTGCTAATTTGTTTTCATTTGCGATAGCGAATCGATTTGATTGGCCTCCCACAAGCGGGTCTCACCAATTAAATTGAGAAGGCGCAAATATCGTACTTGGATTACAAATCACTTATTCACAAGAAAACTAGCGACCAATTTCAAGAAAACATTATTTTGGAAGAAGATAAAACATAACAACTGTTATAACTCTAGCAGACGAGTAACTTTTCATTTCAACTAACTAGTAACTAACTGAATACTAAACTACTACAAAATGGACATCAATCAACAAATACAATCATTTGAATGGAAGAAGATAAAACATAACAACTGTTATAACTCTAGCAGACGAGTAACTTTTCATTTCAACTAACTAGTAACTAACTGAATACTAAACTACTACAAAATGGACATCAATCAACAAATGCAATCATTTGAATGGAAGAAGATAAAACATAACAACTGTTATAACTCTAGCAGACGAGTAACTTTTAATTTCAACTAACTAGTAACTAACTGAATACTAAACTACTACAAAATGGACATCAATCAACAAATGCAATCATTTGAATCGATAAAGCAACTTTGTGCGAACTATAAAGACTTTGATTTCAAAAGCGAAGAAACTATGAAAACTTTAGGACTGAGATGGAGCCCAAAAACTGATGAATTTACTTTTAACTGGAACCTGGAAGAAAACAAAGAAAAACTAACAAAACGGCAACTTCTATCCCAAATTTCAAAATTATATGACCCTTTGGGATGGTTATCACCAATAACTATATCGGCGAAATTACTTTTTCAAGCAGTTTGGGCAAACAAAAGTGGCTGGGATGACGAGTTACCTGACGCAATTAAACAAAAATGGATAAAATTGAATAAAGAACTGAAACTAATCAAAAACATAAAAATAAATAGATGGCTCGGAAACACTAATATAAGCATACAATTACACGGGTTCTGCGATGCAAGCGAAAAGGCATATGCTTGCGTTGTATATAGCCGTGTCACTGACGAATATGACGTCATAAAAGTGACGTTATTAGCCGCGAAAACGAAAGTCGTACCCTTACTTCAAAAAACATCGCTTCCACGACTGGAATTATGCGGAGCACTACTACTAACTCAACTAATTAACAAGATTAAAAAATCGCTACCGAGACATGACGTCACTGTCTTCGCCTGGTGTGACTCCAAAGTGGTACTGGCATGGTTACAAGGGAACACGAATAAGTGGGAACGTTATGTAGCTAACCGAGTAGAAAAAATAACTTGTATAGTGCCTTCACAACGATGGTTTTATGTAAATACTGAAGAGAATCCAGCTGACTGCGCTTCGAGAGGCTTATTACCGAGCAAGATGATTGATTTTAAGTTATGGTGGAATGGACCAAACTTCATAAAAAACCTCACCGATCAAAATCTAAAAAGAAATATCAGCTGTGTTTATACTATTTCTATACAAGAACAACAAGCAGAAACTACTCAAATAAAAGAAAGTCAAACCGACTTCAGAAATGAAAATTTTATAGAAAAATTATTAAATAATAAAAGTTCATTGACTCAAATACATAGAATTGTAGCATGGGTCATTCGATTTATTACTTGTTTATTTAACAAACAGCAAGGTTGCAATTTAATGCACTTAACAACGCTTGAACTAAATAACTCTGCCGAGTGTGTATTAAAATATGTACAACAAAAACAGTTTGCGCAAGACTACAAACAACTCGAACAAAATAAAACAGTAACTAAGAATAGCTACATTTACAAATTGTATCCTTACATGGACAGCAAGGGTATTATACGCGTCGGCGGTCGTCTGCAACACTCAACATTGCCAGCTAATATGAAGAATCCAGCTATCTTACCTAACAGCGGTCGATATACTGAGCTGTTGATTGATCAGGCACATATGATTACCCTTCATGGAGGTGCTAGGCTGACTTTGTCCTATATACGGCAACGATACTGGATAGTGTCGGGAAATCGCACGGTAAAAGCTAGATTGCGCCGTTGCGTTACGTGTCATCGTTTCAACACAGACCGTTCGTCTCAACTAATGGGTGACCTTCCTGCACCCAGAATAACTCCAAGTCGTCCATTCACGCATACCGGGGTCGACTTCACCGGGAGCGTCGACGTCAAACTCAATAAAGGCAGAGGAGTAAAAACTACAAAAGCTTATATCGCCATTTTTGTATGTATGGCAACGAAGGCTGTACATATCGAATTGGTGTCGGAGTTAAGCACGCAAGCTTTCATCGCAGCCTTTCAGAGGATGTGTGCTAGACGCGGTACCCCGGCTCATATGTACTCCGATAACGGAACAAACTTCGTAGGGGCATCGAGAGTCCTGAAAATAGAATTTGAAGCGTTCAAGCAGCTATTGACGCCGGAATTCTTCACAGAAATTGGAAAACTCGAAGTACAGTGGCATTTCAATGCACCTTCATGGCCTAGTGCCGGTGGAATATTTGAAGCAGCCGTAAAATCTATGAAACACCACTTGCGACGCGTCCTAGGGGAACAGAAACTTACTTGGGAAGAGTTCACAACATTGCTGACTAGAATAGAAGCTTGCATGAATTCACGACCACTGTGTCCATTGACAGAAGATCCCGATGAGTTCTATAACACACTAACGCCTGGCCATTTTTTAACTGGAAGCTCTACTCTTCAACTACCACAGCCAGGAACAGATGATCGACACTTGGATATCCGAAAGCGATGGCAACTTACCGAAAAGATGTTAGAACAATTTTGGAAAGCTTGGTCTAATGATTACCTCACTACTTTACAAGTTCGCTGCAAGTGGAATAAGATATCACCGAACCTGAAACCGGATGATGTTGTACTAATAAAAGAAAGTTGTCTTCCTCCTGGCAAATGGGCAATGGGCCGTGTGATCAATGTACATCCAGGAAGCGACGGATTAGTCAGAGTTGCCACCTTACAAACTAAAACTGGAACACTGAAACGCCCTATAATCAAACTTTCACTCTTTCCTACTCAAGAAAGTACAAAACAACCTGAAAAAAGCAATGAAAACTTGGAAGAAAAGAACTACACAAAAGATCGAACAATAAAGGATCATTATTTTCATTCATAACATTATTAACTATAATGTTTACAATGTTATCAGGATCAAATGCCACTACTATATCAACTACCACTCATATTACAAGACTGGAACCCGAGCGCCCGGTGTACTACAACGAACTTGGAAAAATTAATTTTATGTATGACGAATGGATATTAGTCATGTATTATAATCTCACAACATATTGGCTAGCAACTAAACAAATAAAAGTGTATCTCAGAGATATTGAAAAGGTCTGCGATTTAATGGACCCTAGATACTGTCAAAGTACACTTGATCAGATAAATCACGAGTTCACCCTACTAAACCACTACAATGAACTGCTTCTAACACCCCGCAAGCAGTTGTCCCGAAGGAAACGAGGTCTAATAGACGGAGTGGGATACGTCGCCAACAAACTATTTGGTCTTTTAGACCAAAGTTTCGTCAACAAATACCATCAAGATATAGAAAACATCCAAAATTACGAAAATTACCTGCAGGAACTCATAAGAAACCAAACGTCGATTATTGAAGTCGAGAATGAGGCATTGAAGAAAAGTGAACAAAACCTACAAAGACAAATTTCAGTCTTAAACGACTACATTGAACAAACTAACATGACTTTCGCAAGAATAGAAAATGAAATGCA